ATACTGACTGACTGATTTTCTGGATAATTTGTGATAGAAAAGTTTATTTCCCATATAATTTAAGCATAATGAATTTAATCAGAGAGGAGTTTTGTGGAGATTGTAGTAATTTTAATAGTTGAATTCATGAGTCAATTGAAGCTAGACCACCATAGAAAACCTGGAAACACGAGATCGATAAGTCTTGGGTTCGAATCTTTCGTGGAGTGGGATCGTGGATGCGCACTTCTGAGGAATCTCACAATAGGATGAAACGGCCATCTAGTGCTTCCAGGTTTTCATGAATTGAACTATGATGAATTTAATTTATTGAAAATTACATTTTTGTCTAGTCATAACTTGAAAATAGAATCTTCATTTAAATTAACACGATGATGATGATGATGAAAACCCCTTCATTTTTAGCATAACAGTGAGAAATATAGTTGACTCTTAATCATGTGTTTGTTGGAAAATGACTGAGATGAGTCTTTGCAGTTTTATTGAGAAACCGTTAGTGATGTTCATTCATCTCGGTGGGAATCAGTTACTCGTTGGTGACGCTGGGTAACTAACATGCCATATTGATAATTGAATGAAGTAATTAGAAAGAAGTGAACCCTTGTACTTCAACTCTACGATCCAAACCTAATGGGCATGATGAGAAGACTGAAGTTTCTAGGTTAGAGTTCTGATGTGTTTAGGGTTTGTAATCCGTTAGAGTCTCATGCTAGAACAAGAAATCCACCCAGTGCTACACGGTACTCAACGATTTCTCAATTCTTAACGAGAGGACAATTAAGTCAATTGCTTATAGCAAATATTCGATATTTATTAAATTCTACTAAAATAAAAAGTTGTTTAAGATTTCGCAGGATTTTGTAGTCGTTTTGTTAGACTATAAACCATTTGTACAGGTTAGTAAGAAATAGGTATCTTAATTTGGATTCAGGTTTAAATGAAATTCAAATTTTTATTTTGAAAGCCTTGTATGTTTCGATAATAAACTCTGAACTAACATTGGGCTCAGTTTTCTCGAACCATAAAGTCAATTATCTCCTATCTGTACAAATATTAAATAGATTTGTTATAACTAGCTAGTTATGTACATAAAACACATAGTCTATGCATGTCTTTCTTGAAGGTTCCACAAATTTCTAAGATGCCACAAGTTACGAAATTCAGATAAAAATATAACAGTAGTTAGGATATTTTCTTCCTTACCAAATGTTTAGAGAAACAAGAGACACTTATAGTGAAATTCATGTGGCAAACATGTTATACAGTACAAAACTGATTGGAAATGTTTACACTTGAAGATTGTAGCATATAATGAACGTTCAATAAAACGTTTATAATAAATCTGAATATTTAGAGTTTAATTGTAAATTAAAGAGGATTTTTTGTACAGTTTTGTGTATTTTGATCTGAGGACTCTTAACTATTACCATATTTATGATATTGAGTGAAGTGTTTATTATGATCATTAAATTTCAACTTTTGGCCAATTTCTATGGAATATTTCCATTGAAAATTATGAGTATCCACATTTCTCTAAACTTAATTCATTGTAAGAAACATTATTTATCATCATACGTTTACATTGATATTTATTCCACAATATAAACTATTTTCACATTTATATTAATAAAAAGATAATCTAGAAGCCGCATTGTGTAGAAGGTTATTCATTATTGGTCTTGAATTTATTCTTTGAATTGACCTATTTTATTGTATCCTGTTTACATTTGCAAATGTACTAGAATAAATACTCAAGATTTGCATCATTATTTTCTCATTTAATCATGTGTGTTAATTATCAATAGCTTCTTTTATTTGATAATCATTATGGAAACCAATATATATTAACGTGATCTAAGTACTTTATATGCATTTTTATAGTCCATTGTATTATGAATTAAAGTACACATTTCTTTTTAGATGTAATTGTTATTATTAAAATCTACAGCCTAATTCTAACATGTTTTATCAGTATAAAGGTATTTGTATAGAATGCATATGTTAAAATTAAATTTACTGAAAAAAAAACAAGTTATCCCTTGTTAATGAATAGTGTATTACAATCTGAAACAATAAAGAGAATTCATAAAAATGTACGTATATTTAACGCACTTCCCAGATTAAATTCACTTTGTATTGTCTGTTTGAATCTTCCCATTGATTTTTAGAATTACGATTGATCAGTCACTTATTGGAATATGTGTATCCTGTACAGATCGCCTCGATATTGCCTTAATTCACAAACATTATAAGCAAAGGTGAATGATGACTGGCAATGGAATCCAGGACAAGTGTTTTGTTAATGCGAAGATTCAAACAAACAATACAAAGTAGATTTAAACTTTACCTAATTGCACAAGATACCGACCATCAGGACTCAGTAGCTGAGTGAATAACGCGATGGCATTTGAAGCGAACGGTGCTAAATTCGAGTCTCGGAGTGGACGTCAACTCTTGGATGAAGACACATCCAGCTGACGTGTCAAAAGTAGGACGAAACGCGCGTCACAGATCCCACTCTTAGCCACCATCCATCTTAAATTCCCTTATTATTGCAAAATTAAAATCAAAGTTTATAAATTTTCAACAGGTATCTGAAAATATAAACTATGAAGTACAGTGAATTACACTGTCAAATCACTTGGTTTTATACTTTTGTTAGATCAGCATATTATTACTTGTTATTTTATATCCATAAACTTTATTTTTTTATTGAGACCATGAACCGATTAATCTTAAACCAGCATTAAAAACCTGGAAGTACTGGGCGGCCATTTCATCCTATTGTGGGACTACTCAACAGTGTGAATGCTTTATCCAAATGCTTTATTCAAACCCAGGGCCTTCAGTCTCGCACGCGAACGCTTAACCTCTCACGAGCGGGATCATGTATGCGCTCTGCTTAGGAGTTCCACAATAGGACGAAATGATCATCCAGTGCTTCTAGGTTTTCAGTGGTGGTCTAACATTAAACGGTTCATGATCTCAATAAAAAAGCTTAATAATCTCCACAACCTTATATTCATAAACTTAATATGTGAGCATATAAGCTAGAAATTAAAACACGTAGATAGTCTTTCATTGCAATTCAATTTGTTTCAAAGTATTATTTATTTTATTTGAAAGTGATTTAAATTTTAATTATTCGTAATATCAGGAAACTAGTACGGCTTTTAATAGTCTATTTCAGTTAATTCAGTTTCTCTCTTTCTCTTAAATTAGTATCGCCTTATGTTGGGTAAGAAATTTCATTATAAACTAATATACATTAGAAGATTTTAATAAAATTCACCGTATTTTTTTTACAGGTTACTACCCTATCAACATAATATTACAGTAATAAAATTCTAGTTTATTACTTTTAATATATTTTTTTCTTTATATCTTTAAAGACAATCTGGTTTAAGTGTTTACTTACTGATCTAAGTTCATTATATTGAAAAGTTTTGCTTTAGAAGTGAATTAGTTCTTAAGCGGTTCTGATATAATCCAAAATAACAAATTAAGTGATTACTTGATAAGAGATAAACAGATTTTTGTTTTCAAAAAATTTTTTTCTTAATCCTTCTACTTACACAAAACAAGAAAACTAATTTCTATGTAATCAGATTAAAGAGAAAAATGTTAAGATACTGTTGCCTTCACTTATTGAGATAATTTGAAATGTTCTAGTGATTGGGTGGAAGGATTTTTTTTCGTTTCAAACATCATATTTAAATATTTATTCCTATTTAATCAAAGGAAGTTTTTATGTCAAACTTTTAATTTTTTTTTTCTAATATTTCTCTTATGTTTACCTCAGATTCCTATTCATACTGTGACGTCATAAGACTCTTTAGATTTAGTAATATATAAGAGAAATCTAGAATGATCTGATGGTTTGCCTAGTTTATTTGAACGTAGGATATGTTGATAGCAAACATGAACTCTTAGCTTGGTTCATAGATAAATGTCTAATTCCTTGTGTTGTAAACACATTTAGATAACTTTTTCAATGATTGAATATTTTCTTTAACTGTAGATATCGGATAGATGAGAGGAATAAGTTGTATATTTTTATAATAAATGATTTTGTTTTTCTTATGTTAATTGAAATAAATCAGTATGCATACATCATTCATATAGGTCTTTTCCTATTTATGAAGTGATGTATTAGAAGAATAGAGAATGAAATAAGTCATAATAATCAAAAACAATAACATTCGCTACAATACGTGCTAGTGATTGTCCACTTGTGATTTGCCGTTAAAAACTATTGTTGTATAACATTATTAGTTAACATTAATGAAAAGTATTCACACGGAAACAATAGTTTCCATCGGAAAAACAATCAAATGTCAATGAAAAAAATATTTTTATTAAACAAATAATTTTAATGATGATCAAGTCAGAAAATGACGTCGAACAATTGTGTATTCCATGAATTCTAGAGAAATAGAGCTACAGCAACTTACAAAATAACACTAAATACTGTATTTACAAAAAAAACTGTCTATTATACTTTGAATTAATCAGTACTTGAAATTGTTCTTTTTTTACTAATATGAGAAGGTTTGTACAGTTAAATTCAAGAGGTATTTTAAACGTTTGATAGAAAACACTCCAAGTATTTGTAATATGTACGACTGATTGAGAATAATATTATATGATATAATGATTGGTAAACTGTTACATTTCACTCCACATGTAGACTATACCATAACTTTGTCTCTATTTTCCATACAAACTTGGAAGGTTTTCGATGATTAGATATATGTAAAAAGTAGGTTACGTAATATAGAATAATTCGCTGACAGCTCAATAGTCAGTCTGCATATATAAAAGACTATTTATTAAATTCATGGGCTATAATCCCTATTTTACTGGTTTGGCGTCTTTTATGTTACGTATTGTTTTGCCATTTTAATTGAAATACTCATTGATACATGAATAAAGATTTATGAAAAAAACTATTTTAAAATTGTTTAAAAGCAACCCTATTCTATTATTGTAAAACATACCGTCCTTTAGCTGAAAGATTTTTAACTTCTTGTATGGATATCCGAAGTGATACATCTTTATGTTGTTCATTTTCCAATTCCGGTTTGGCACGTCTGCGTAAACTGTTTGTTTGTTTTTTAAAAAAAGAAAATATTTGAAAACAGAAAATAGTGTTAACAATGAAAATTTTTTTTATTAAATATAACAGAATTTTATTTTAGATTAACAAAATATTCTCTGAAGAAGTGACTTACATTAAGTCACGAAACGTCAGCAAAAAATATAGTTTTTCTACTCATTGGGATATTACAGATATATATTTATTAATAAAATGACATACACTTTTCATCAGAAATCATTGCAAATACATTGTTATAAGTAGTCTGTTTTTCACTTATAAATCACAGCATAACGTTGTAATAAAACAATCATTAAATTTACTTGATATTGTTTACTTGAATCTTTCCATTTATGTTTAGGACTATAATTGATTAGTCTCTTATTGGCATATATGCATCCTGTGCGTAGTGCTACGATATTGCGTTAATTCACAAGCATTATGAGCAAAGATGTACAGTGGCTAGCAGTGGAATCCAGGACGTGCGTATCGTTCTGTTTGAAACTCGTCGGCTGGATGTACCTGTATTTCAGAGTTGATGTTCACTCTGAGACTTGAACCCAGTAACGTTCGCTTCAAACGCCATCGAGGGATCCACTTTATTACTGAGTTTTGATGGCTACTTGAGTGAACACCAACTCTGAGTTGCAGTTACATTCAGCTGACGAGTCCCAAATAAAATGAAACTCGCATCCTTTATCTCACTGCTAGCCACTATACATCTTTGCTTATAAAGCAATTATCAATTGTAATTATTAAAAATGAAATTCAATGATGACAATGAATTGTTTGTAATATAGACAATGCAGTTTTCATCCATCTAAATAGCTTACATATAGCTTAACATATAGGTAAATATCAAAAGATGAAAAGCTAAATTATACGAGTCTAGTACCCTCAGTTTAAACCCAACCCTAACAAAAATAGGTAGTAATTAATAATGGAATTTAAATACTGTACAAGTTAAATAAACAATGTTTGATATAATAATCAATATTTTGAGGATAAGTAAAATTTAATTACTAAAATATTCTTCCAAAGAAACAAATGAACTTTGATTAAAAGCAATTAAAACAAACTAACAAATTGTAATTATTAACAAATTCAAATTAACTAAGAAACGTTATTCAATAATTTACATAAACAAAAGACATTCATTCAATTTAAATAATAAACAAAGTGACATAGACATTGATGATATATCAAAACAAATAAAGATTTTGTTTAAATAAACAAGTTATGACAGAAAATAATCAAAATCAAATTGAACTTATTTCATTGATGAAAAATAATAATAAAAGAAAATGATAAAGTTTGAGAATGAAGAAAGAAATAAAATTAGGAAGTGTTATTGTAGTTTGACTAAATACGGTCAATAATATATATATCATAATGATTTCGGATGTGATACATAGAAGTGATAGTTATCTTGAACATGAAATAACTAAAGCTTTAAGATAAATTATGACAGAAATTATCAAAGCATAAGTTAAATATAATTATATATATATATGGTTAGTTTATGCCTAAAGTTAAAGGGAAGATGAATTGTATCTGGAGTAATATGTGATCGTGACTATGATATATTCTGTAATCTATAGGCGTCAGAAGGCTTCAAAAAGTAAACCATAATTTAATCCGTCACCCAAATATACATAACATTTAAATTGCCCTAAATTTTAGTACATTTAAATGTCATTGAAAGAAAAGGTTTTCTGTTTATAGTTGGTGTTATATTCTACTACTGATTGTTACTTTAATCAAATTAGTTTGAAATCGGCATGTATAAGCTTGGTAATACAATACGGGTGTTTATATCTGGTTATTTTAAATTAATTTAAATTTTTCAGAAAATATGCATATTTATTTAAGCCTTGAAGATGAATAACACAAACATCTAAATGAATAATTGGCTAAGTAACAAACTAGATGTAATATTTATCATATTATAGCCCAAATCTAATTTGTAGTTGAACTTTTCAATTTCAATGTCAAGTTGATTCAATCTATTATAGATCCTAGTGGTATTGGGAGCATTGATAAACTTGGATTTCAAACAAACAGGCTCGTCGTGAAGATAGTGTAAAAAGTGTAGAGAACAGCCTTGAATGTAGTCTGAATTTTAGAAAATATAATTAAAACAGTACAGATATTTCTTGTTTTATGGATACATCGAACTCTTAGAACTATATATATATATATATTGAAAGTATGAAATAAATTACTGACCGAATATTACTGTTGAAGCAGTGACTCAAAGGAAATAGTTTGTTCATGACTAACAAAAAGCGTACCAAGCATACACAATATTCAGTCACAAGATGTAGTTGCAGTTAAGAGAGTAATTCAAAAGATATCAAAATATCATTTACTTCTCATGGAAACTTTGGGAATGACTTTTAGATTATGGCATTCTGATTCTTACTTTTGGTCGAATTTTCATGAGGAAAATTCTCGAGCTCAGACGATCTTTTCTAAGGAATAGATGCATGTACGTTAACTTCGTGATCATTAGTATCAACCCAAAAATCATTGAAGCTGCATATTACGTGGCTTTGAAATAAGACTAACCGATGGCAAACTAATTATTCAGTGGTATAGATTATGTAACTAGACAATACAAGAAACAACTAGTTTATCGATCGAAGAAATCAGATTTCTAATCCATAGGGAAAATCCTGAACTGCTATTTATTTTGTGTATGTGTGTTGGTGTGAATCACAGCATTTTTTTCTCAACTTTTCCTTTAACTAAATAAAGAATGCTGCTTTTAATGCTTCAAAAATACTTTTGTGTGTCTAGCAGCAAAGATAGGTAGTGATTAGAATATTCTAGCCACCTTTGCTAAATATTTCAAATTTTCACTTTAGTTAAAAGTTGTTCGCTAAACATGAAAATTTTGTAAACCTATTATGTTCTAACGTTTAAAAACATAAAGAGAAAAGTAATTTATTTTAGAAAATCGTCTGGAACTTTTCAGATTTTAAGCATAGCAGTTCTTCTGGTTAGGCTTCCGGTGAACGGTCATTATACATAAGCCCATTATTTCTAAAGAAAATTTTTACTAAATAATAATTCTCTTTATATCATAACCAGGTTACATAGGGGAAAATTCACTCTACAACGAATACCAAAATCCTTGGTCACGTAGATTAGCATAATGACCATTTAAAAATATTACAATGTATTATTGAAGAACATTTTGCTTCATTCGAGATTTGTTGTTGACATGCTTTGACATGCTTATTGCATGATATGAATCTGGTTGAGTGAGACACATGTAAAGAAACATTTTTTAAATTATCTAATAATCGGTAATAGATATAATGAAAATACAGCTAATGATAAATCTTGCTGAACACCTTGCATATCAACAGAACCTAATGAACTCAATTCCAGCGGTCGAAAAACAAAAATATCACTCTATCACGCTATTCTGTATTATTCACCATTTCACACCCGTTTAACTCTATTAAACCAGTGAATTACTCTTTTACTAGTGACTAAATAATAAGGAATGTTGGTTGTAAAAGAAAATTAAAATTTGCATAAAAAATATGATTTGAGTCATGTGTGAAAATCCTATGGGAGAAAAAACGATGAAAAATAAACAAATATTTGAGAAATCAATGACATCGGTTAACTCTATACTTATTTATTTTAATGATGATTGAAACCACGGAAAGATATATGTTGTACAGCTATTAAGAACCTGGAATTATCGGACGACCGTTTCGTACTAGTATATGACTCCTCAGAAGTATGCACTCATGACCCTGAAGCGGCGAATCAAACCCAGGACCTCCAAGCTCATATGAAAACGCCACACTCTAGACCATTAATTCATAATCCAATACTGCACACGTTTAACTTCAATCAAACCACGACCGTTTTCATCTTCATCGATGAGTGTCTTCCTCAAATCCGATACGGATGAACTACATTGGTCACGACTTCCTATGTGAACTACGAAAATTTCCTCTTGAAGCTAACCTCCACTGAATACACGACTACTACTGCGCACAACATTGAGATGTCTCATACTAAGGCGAGACGGCCGTCCGGTGCTTTCAGATTTTTATTGGTTGTTTAACTAAGATGCATTATTGATTTTATATGAAACTACTTAATGCCCTAGATCCCACTCTGAATTAACTCACCAAAAAATAATTATGGAAATACAACGTCTATGTTTACATTTGTTAAGGAATTTAAATACTATTTTAAACTTCTATTCCACTGCTACCAAAGATTATTCTGCAGAAGAATATATAGGGAAATTACAGTAAGAAAAACAAATATATCGATCATTAATATTGTTGATACAATAATCTCTGTTAAAGTGTTTTTAATCGCTTGTCAGGTTATTGATATAACAACCCACAATATATTTTACAAGATAACATATATATATATATATATATATATATATATATATATATATATATATATATAATATTTGTTTATTATTATATTCATTTCTAAAAGCAATAATATGATTTGTTTAAAAATTTGTTTCAGGGGTGCTTGCGTCATTGATTACTCATGCATATATGAAACATACCATAGAAAACATGTGCAAAATGCTTTATATCCTTATGAACGAATTACCAACGAATTACACTTACTTTTATTGACCTTCTTTAAACAACCAAAACTAACTATTATACACTGTAAACATATAAATAAATATTGTTTTGCTAGTAGAAATAAAAGGCATACCTTTTATGGAAGCAAATATCTGTAGTAAATAGGAATCTGTTTATTTATTTATTGTATTTATATTGATGGTTTAACTCATTTAATTAAGAAATCCATAATGTTGAATATTTTGAAGTTATATGTAAATGATTGGCTATCTGTGATACTCTTAGTTACATTTATAAATAAAATGAATTCAAGTTTAGAAATCAGTTTTTCCAAGGTTTTAAGTACGTTTATAATAATTAGAGAGAAGTGACAACAAAGCTCATTTCAGGATTCCTAATAGAAAAATGAATGTAT